TAGATAATATAATCTACATTTACTAAGAAAGGAGAATAACCTAGAGGTTGCTGATCAGATATGTGGGTTTCAAATGAAGAGAGATTTCTGTGAGATGATGGCAGAGGGAGTAGAGCCTGAAACTGAAATGATGAGCAAGTGGTATAACAACTTTTCCTGGGTGAGTGAGAGGAATGGTCAGCATTAGAAAAGGTAGCAAAGGATGAGATATCTTTAGAGAAAAATCAAGTCTCTGTGAGTGGAAGAAGATGGAGAGTGAGTGAAAATAAGGTTAAAGAGACCTTAACAATGAAGTAGGAATTCCAGAGAGTAAAATGTAAGGGGAATACTGAACTAGATAGGAATGAGAGTGTGGGAGAGTGGGGAAGCAGGGGGAAGGCATCTAGGTGATTAGTTATCCACAAAATGGGGTGCTGATGCTGTCACCTTAAATCAAGCCAAAATTTCACATTAGATTGATTACTGGTGTGAAGGCATCTTTGTTGACAGTGCCTTCCAGGTGGAGCCCCTTTAGATTATTACATCAGGGATAGAAAAAGTGACTTAAGGGGCAGCTAGGTAGTGCAGTGGATGGGGCACTGGTCCTGGATTCAGGAGGACCTGCTTTCAAATCCAGCCTCAGACACAAAACACTTACTAGCTGGGCAAGTCACTTAACCCCATTGCCTAGGGCCCCCCCTCCCCCCCAAAAAAGTGACTTACGATTCCTATCCCAGCTGCCAATTTATAGCATCATAGGATTTGAGAAACAGGAAAAATGTTAAAGATCATCTAATTTTAGGGCATTTAGTTAGTGCAGTAGATAGAGCACTGGCCCTGGAGTCAGGAGGATCTGAGTTCAAATCCAACAGCAGACACTTACTAATTGTGTGACCCTGTGCAAGTCACTTAACTTCCTTAAAATTTCCTTAATTTCCTTAAAAAAATCTAATTTTTGTCTTCATGTTACATATCAGGAAATTGGGATGCTGAAAGAACTGGTTTGCTTAAGGTTACTGATTATAAATGACAGGCTGAATTCAAACCCAGGACCTCTAATTCTAGATTTTAGAAGTACATCTCAAAGAAATTCCATTCATTTACAATTCCTTTCTGAACAGAAAAACAACATGAAAGACTCAAGTATGTGGTAGTAAAGAAATAGACAAACTTGTTAAGTGGACTTTGGTTTTAATATGGTGAATAAACATAATTGTCTTCTTTACAACTTGTCTCGGATCTCTGGAAAGTTATTATTGGTTACCCTCTTCTAGTATTAATCAATGACAAAGTTTTTTTACAGTGAATTGCACAAAGTAGACACTTAATAAATGCAGGTTGTACTTAGTGAAGTTGAATTCTACATTTCCCTTTCTTTCTCTTATCCTTTGCACAGATAGTTGATTTTTCTGAATATGTGAATTGTGTAAAACACTTGGCATAATAATGTAATTTTAAAAAAAAAGTTGCATATGTTAATTTACTTTGTTAAGTTTAGTTTCCCTAGAAATTTTAATTACTAATGTTTAAGTTAAACATTCTTTAGTTAAACTAACTATACAGTATTTTGAAATTACTGTGAGATTAGTTAATGAAATTGTTGGGTGAGTACTTTCAATAGTCAGCTCACTATTTTCTATTCTAAAGGAAGATATATGATCTTAGTAGCAGATTGTAGAGTTATCTGGGAATTGGCAATTTGGAAAATTAAATACACTTAAAAAGTTGACTAATACTTCTGTATTTCTGCCTACCTAGATAATGAATGGTATTTATTACATATTTAGCACATTTTAATTAATTGTTGTATATTTTCATTTATTTTAAAGGTGTTTTATTTAAACTCATTTCTTAGGATTATAGATCTAGAGCTGGAAGGGACCTCAGAGGTCCCTTGGTACAAACCTTTCATTTTACAGATGAAGAAATGAAAGTCCAGGGAGGTTAGGTGACTTCCCCAAAGTCATCACAGGTATCAAGTGTCAGAGGTCAAAGTTGAACCTAGGTCCTCTGACTGCAGAGGCAGGGCTTTTCCCTTATTTTCACATGTCTGTTCCTTCCCAATGATTCCCTGCCTTCCGTGGAACTCTTAAAATAGATAAGTACAGTCAATTAAAATCAATTTATTGCCCACAAATAAAAATGGCTTCTTCTGAAACCATAAACCTTCACCTGTATGCTGAGAGGTGGGAGCCATGCTTTACCATCAAGTCCTCTGAGTTTATGATTGGTGACTGCATTGATAATAGTTATAAGAAGTTTTTCAGTGTTGTTTTCCTTCATATTATTGGAATCATCATGTAAATTGTTCTGCTTACTTTATCCTCATGCACTTCTACGAATTATTCATATTCATTGTCTTTCCGTGAAATAATATTCAATTATATTAATATACCACAGTTTATTCAGCTGTTCCACAATTGATAGGTACTCACTTTGCTTCCAATTATAGTTATAATTTTACCTCCTGCAAAAAATGCACTGTCTTTCTCTCAATCACATACATATTCATGCACACACATATGCATATTATATATCTATTGGGCATCTGGGTAGAGCAGTGAATAAAGCACTAGGCCTGGAGTCAGTAAGACTTGAGTTAAAAATTGAGACTCAGATATTTACTAGCTGTGTGACCCTGGGCAAGTCACTTAACCTCTGTCAGCCTCAGTTTCCTCACTGGTAAAATGGGGATAATAATAGCACCTATCTCCCGGGGTTGTTGTGAGGATCATATAAGATAAGAATTGTAAGGTGCTTAGCACAGTGCCTGGCACATAGAAAGAGCTATATAAATATTATCTATTTTCTGTTTACATGGGACCTTATTCAATTATATATATTTATATATATATACATATATATGTGTGTGTATGTGTGTGTGTGTGTGTGTGTGTGTATATATATATATACGTATATATATATATATATATATATATATATATATGTATATATATATATATATATATATATGTATATATATATGTGATTATCTATTTTTCTAGCCTTAACCTTCAGTTTTACATTTCCAGCTGCCTCTTGAACTGGATTCCTATAGACTCAGCATACTCCAAACTGAATTCTTTTATCTTTACCCACCACTTTTTTTTTAAGGCAATTGGGGTTAAGTGACTTGCCCAGGGTCATACAGCTAGTAAGTGTCAGGTGTTTGGTCTGAGGCTCGATTTGTACTCAAGTCCTCCTGACTTCAGGGCCAGTGCTCTGTCCACTGTGCCATCTAGCTGCCCCTTACTCTCTACTTTCTAAACTTCCCTGTTACTGTTGAAGGCACCGCTGTCCCAGTAGAAACTCAGGCTTGCAACCTAGGCATCACCCTTGACTCCTCACTCTTTCTGTCATCCTCTATATCCAATCTGTTGCCAAGGCCTGTTAATTTCATCTTTGTGACATCTCTTGTATATGTACCCTTCTCTCCTCTGACACTGTAACCACTCTGGTGTAGACTTTCCTCACTTCACTGCAGGCCAATTGCACTAGTTGGCTGGTTTGTTTGCTTGACACAGATCACTCCCCACTCCATCCCATCCTCTACTCAGCTGTCAAAATGATCTTCATAAAGTCCCTGTCTGACCCTGTCACTCTTCTACTTAAGAAATTCTATTGTCTCCCTATCACCTGTAGGATTAAATATAAAATCATCTGGTGTTCAAAGCTTTTCATAATCAAACACCCCTCCTCTGCCTTTCCAGTCTTCTCACGCCTTGTACTCTGGTCCCATTCTACTCCTACAAGGTACTCTTAGATCCACTGACACCGGCCTGCTTACTGTTCTTCAAACAAGACACTCTATCTCCCGACCCAGGGCATTTTCATTAACTATCTCCCAGGCTTGCAATGGCCTCCCTCCTCAACTCTACCTTCTGGCTTCCCTAGCTTCCTTTGAGTCCCGATTAAAATCCTACTTTCTACAGGAAGCCTTTCCCAATCCCTTTTCATTCTATTGCCTTCCCTCTGTTGATTATTTCCAGTTTATTCTATACATAGCTTGTTTGTACATAATTGTTTGAATGTTGTTTCCCCCATTGGATTGTGAGCGCTTCAGGAACAGAGTCTTTTACGTTTCTTTTTATCCCTAAGATTTAGCATAGTGTCTATCGTACAGGAGTTCTTAATATATGTTTATTGACTGACAGATTGACTGCCTCCAACCTCCGTGGGGTATTCCATTTACTTCTCCAGAATGACCTCTTATTTTATGGTGGTAATTTAAAATGCCCATTTTAATATGAACTAGTTTCACAGGGCTTCACTTTTATTTCTAAAATGCTGATGGTCAACATTGTCCAGTACTGAATACAATGAAAAGCACAGTCCCTGCCTTATAAGATAAGGGGGATTGGAGTTCAACACTAAATGGAGAATAATGCCGAAGTACTCACCAGGGTGCTTTTTAGGACAGTTGGGATGCTTAGTAATAACGCAGACAGTTACCTGTCTGCTGATTGGTTGGAACAAGATTGTAACTTTGGTGCATTTTCCCACCAACTGAAATGGCTAAGAAAAAGAGAAAATAAAACATTAAAAACAAGTGGAAAGGTGTACTATAAAGTTTTAGAAAAAATGTTTAGGATGAATGTTTCTTCCTTTCTGATTTGAAAATTAGAGGAAGGATTTAGGGTTGGCCCTTTTATTTGCAGATTATTCTTATTTCTTTCAAATGTCGGCTGCCTATAAGGCTCTTCTTTTGAAAGAGTAGCCACAAAATCAATGAAAATTCAAGAGATTTTGATTAAGGGTGAACTACAAGGTAAAATTCACAGTGAGGAGTATTGGTCACATAGTGTAATACTATATTCTATATAAATGAAGTATTTAGTTTTCAGTAATAACGTTCATAAACATGTCTGTTGAAAATGTAAAAATAATTGTGTGTCTGAAAAATTCCTTTAAATACATTTGAATTTATGGGAGAGGTAAATGCTTAGAAAAAAAATTTAAACCTGCCAGCATGTTTCATGTGATTTCACAAGTTCTCTGCTTTTCTTGTATTGTTTGCTTAGGTGATCCAGCTTTTTCCAGTAATTAATCAAGTGTTAACTACCTGTCAGCCCAGGAACAAGTGAAAGGAGTGGCGGGTGGAAGGGCAACAGAGGGAGGTGAGTTGTCCTGCCCCAGGATTTGCCATTTTACTCCACTGTGCCCTTCGGTGGTTTGTATTTCTCCACATAGCACTGATCCTGACTTGGAATATATGGTCATTATTAACATATGGTTGAGATTTCTGTGAGTTAAGGGCCTTGGGATAGAAGTAGGAGAAAAACTGCTACTGACTCTCTATTTTGGCCATTAGTTTTCCAGTAAACCTGTCAAAAAACATTTGTCTCTAAATGGATTAAAAGTGTTTCTTAAGGTGATTTTTTCACTGCCTTGATTTATGCCTGTTCCAATTGCTGTATTTGCTGTCATCTGTTTTTGTATTGGACTTATGATCTCCCTGCTTATTAACTAAGTTGTTCTCTTAATAGTATTTTTGACAAAACATGGAGAAATCTTAGCTGCTCTAAAATGTAAGAAACACATGACACGAGGAACATTTGTGTACAAGTTGAGGCCTTTTTAGATATTGGAGAAAATTGCTAGACTGACATTAATTTTTTGAAGACATCAAAAAAGGCACTGCTCCTCCCCCCAAAAACTCCCAGCCAAAAAACAACACAAAGAAATGGACAAATGGTACACCAACCTACAAAAACACGCAGACAACATAAACTTTATTATAGATTTTGGATCAGATGCCCCCTGAAGCTGTAGCAGGAATTTTATTACCATGAGCTACGTGGGGTTTTCCATGAATGAGCAGTGAGAAGACAAAGCACATCTCTGGGTTCAATTGGCTCTCATAACTGAGGACGATATGAGCAACTAGAATCTCTCTTTTCTTTCTGTCTTTTTTTTTTTTTGGCTAGGCAATGGGGTTAAGTGACTTGCTCAGGGTCACACAGCTAGTAAGTGTCAAGTGTCTTGAGGCTGGATTTGAACTCAGGTCCTCCTAACTCTAGGGCCAGTACTCTATCCACTGTGCCACCTAGCTACCCCTGAGCACCTGGAATCTTTAGATAATTTTTTGTAAGTATTTGGAATAAGTAAGGGTCATCCCTAGGTTTCACCCTAGCCATTTTATCTATCTATCTATCTATCTATCTATCTATCTATCTATCTATCTATCTATCTGTCTAGCTATCATTTTTACCTTGTTTATTTAAAATATGTTTTATTGATACTTTTTGTCTTTACATAAATAATTTCAATTCCCCTTCTGCCAGATTAAATCTTCCCTTGTTACAAAGAAAACAAAATGAAAATTTCCAGTATGGCAAACATATCTGATAAAGTTTACAGTGTTCTGTCCTAAGTCCCACCTCTGACAAAAAAAAGGTGAGGGATGTGTTTCATTTTCCTTCTCAAGAATCTTCGTTAGTTGTTCTGCTCAAATTTCAACTTCCTTTACTTATCCGGTCATTGACATTGTTATTGTCGTTATGTGTATCATTCTCTTAGATCTCCATCAGTTTATTCAGATCTTCCAATGTTTCTCTAAATTGGTATTTACCATTTTTTTTTTTGCAGTGTAATATTTCATTACATTCATAGCGACTGACTAAAAACTATTTCCCTTGACAATTTGTAAGTTGGGCAATAACTCTTGATCTTATATACATATGCTTGAATTAATTCTCTATACATTTTGGACATTTGAATTTTATTTAGTGCAAATATTTTTCCACTCTACTGTTTTTCTTTTACTATTGTATTTACCAATTTTATTTTTTAAAAACCTTTTAAATTTTAAGTAGTCAAAATGGTCAATTTTATCTTTTATCATCCCTTCTATACCTTGTTTGATTGCTCTCCTATTTCTAGTTGTGATAAGTACCTGAACTAATTTTCTTCTAATTTTTTATGCTATGATTTTTAAAATTCTGAGTCCATTGTGGCTTATTTTATATATTGTAAGAGATTTTCATGTAAACGTAATTTCTGCTGAATTGCTTCCAGTACGTTTCCAGCAATTCTTGTTAAAGAAAAAAAAGGATTCTTTCCCCTAGTAATTTTTATTCTTGGACTTGTTAAACATTGAATTACTGTTTTTTTTAATTGTTTCTGTTTCTTGCTTATTTATTCTGTCCTACTGAATTACTTTTCTGTTTTTTAACTAGTATCAAATAGTTTTGATCACTACTGCTTTATAACATAATTTGATGTCTGGTAATGCTATATCCTCTTCATTTGTTCTTTTTCTCATTCTAGACTTTTTATTCTTCCAAGTGAATTTTTGGTTATTACTTTGCCTAGTTGCATAAAGTGTCCTCTTTGTGATTTGACTGGCATAGAACTAAATTTGTAAATCTATTTAGGCAATATTTAATTTATTTTACATCAATTTGGCCAAAGCATGAGCAGTGATTCTCTCTTTTCAATAATTTGTCTCCTTTTATTTATGTTAACTGCTAAGTTAACTCCAAAATAAGTTAACTCCTAGATGGCATTTGAATTTGGCAGGTATTTTGATCATGGCTTTCGGGTAGTCCAGTAATCTTAAATTATCTCTCCTCAATCTATTTTAGAGGCCAGTTTTTTCCCAATGAGATATATCACATTTCCTTTTGTTATTTCATTCTTTTAACTTTGTTTTATTTTTTCTTTGATGTCTCATGGAGTCATTAACTTCTACTTGCCGAAATCTAATTTTTTAATGAATTATTTGAATTTCATTTTCCATCTGGCCAGTTTTGCTTTTTAAGGAATTCTTTTCTTCAGTGAATTTTTGTGCTTCTTTTGCCGTTAGGCCAATTCTGTTTTTTAAGGGATTTTCTTCAATTTTTTTGTGTCTCTTTTACCAAGCTGTTAATTCTCTTTTTATAATCTTTCATTATTCTCATTTCTTTTCCCAGCTTTTCCTCTACGACTCTTCTCTCTTTCTTTAACTCTTCCAGGAATTCCTATTGGGCTTGGGTCCAGTTAGCACTTTTCTTTGAAGCTTTGCTTTTAGCTGTTTTTTTTTTTTTAAAAGAGGCTCTCTTCTAAGTTTGTGTCTTGGTCTTCCTTGCCACCGCAGTAGATTTTTATAGTGAAACTCTATTGGTGGTGGTGGTTGCTTATTTTTCCAGCTGATTTCTTGACTTTGAACTTTATGTTAAAGTTGGGCTCTGCTCATCAGGGGGTGTGGAGTCACTGTTCCAATCTTCAGGCTTTTCCATGCTGCTGTTTTCAGAGCTAGTTCTGGGGATCTATAAGTTTTTGGTGCTTCCAAGGTGGTGTGATTCAGGGAGAGGTGTGGTCAGTACTCTTCTCATCTGTGCTCTGTCATTTACCTAGGAATGGTCCCTGCTTCCCTGCAGCTGCACGTGCTAGTGCTCTTCTTAGAACTGTGAACAGGTCCCCTGCTTACTTGTGACCGATCACAAGCACTTCTCTCCACCCTGGAACTGTGACACAGAAATGAGTTGCCAGTCAACCCCAACTGCCCCAAGTGCCAGCAAAGGGTTCCCTGTAATCTTTGCTGACCAATCACTTTATTGGCTCTGAGATGAGAGTTCCTGAAGCTGCTGCTGCTGAGGCTGCCCCTATCTTAGCTGCCTCAAAGGCCCACTGCTGATGCTTCTGCCTGTCTCTCACCCAGATGTCACAGACCTCTCTTGCCAACCTCCTAAGTTGTCTTAGGCTGGAAAATGCCTCACTCTGACCTTGTGTTGACTGTGCTGCTCCAAAATTTGATTTGAGGAGTTATTTTAAAGTTGTTTGGAGGGAAATGTTGGTAGAATTCAGATGAATTATTGGCACCATCTTGGCTCCACCCTTTGTTGGTAGTTATTTTGAATGAATTTCTCTTATTATGTATTTATAGATTGGGTTAATATTATGTAGACATGCCAATGATTATTTTAGATTTATTTTGATTTCTGTTCTCTTGCTGAAGCTGTTAATTGTCTCAATTAGTTTCTTTCCTGATTCTGTTTTTCTAAAGAGTGGTGTTATCACTGTATTAAAAGTTTGCTCTTTACCCAGCTACTATCATTCTTTCTTTTTAAATTTACATAGTTATCTTTTGTTTCTACATTACTTGCATTTTCCAATATGTCTTTCTGAATAATATGAGACATCCAAGTCAAAACAACCTTGAATTTCTACCTTACACCCAGCAAATTTTCATTAGCAAGGATGACAAAGGATAGGAATCATCAATCTTTGAGGGGTTGTGGAATGGCAAACACACTAATATATTATTGCTAGATCTGTGAATTTATCAACAATTCTGGAAAGTGATGTAGAGTTCTGCTAAGAAAGTGACTAAATTGTCCATTTCCTTTGACCTAGAAATTACGATAGGCATATGCCCCAAGGAAGTCACTGTATGTAATATCAGACTATTTTTGTTGAACTTTTTTTTCCTTCTCTTTTTATTCTTTGTTATAAGGGATGATTCTCTTAGAGGTAGAAGAGAATGGATCACATTGGTAAATGTGGGTAAAATGTATTTAAAATAAAAGGAAATTAGCTACAATGCATATGCATTTAATATTGTTGATCTTTTCATTGCACATGGTACTTTTATGCATAATGTAGTATTCATTTTAGTCTGCCTTGAATTTATGATTTTTTTAAATTTTCCCCTTACACATGGTAAATTTTGTTCCAATCCTTTATTTTCAGTCTTTATGTGTTAAAACCTAGGCATTTTGTACATACTAGCTATGCCTGTACAACAAATAAATCTGATCTGGACCAAGTCATGTTCTTGGTCTTAGGAGCCAAAGGTTGTCTTAGAGCATTAATACCATCCTGGCCTTTGCTAATTTCCACAATTTGAATCCTTCATATCCATGGGTCATGAAAAATTGAACTGACAAAAATGTGATCTAATTAATCCCTGGTCCTTACTCACAATTATTTTTACCTTTTTATTTGTTAAATATCACAGGTAGCCAATTAAGAACCTAACAAAATTGTATTTATGCCTCCCTGTTTTTTAATCCTCCTTTGCCTTCCTTCCCAGCCCTCTCAGCATAATGATTATGGCTTCCTAAACCATTTTGGACATCACTCATGTGCTTCTGCTATTCAATGTTGAACTTATTCAGTATCAAAACTTGTACTC